TGCGTTAACTTCTTTTCCTGTCGCGGTCGCAAAGACCTCGTGCTCCTCCTGCTCCTGCTCCTGCTCCTGTTTGCTTTCAGGATGGCAGTTGCGTCTCTCGGCTGTCAGTTGCTGCTGCACAACGCTTCCGCTGCTTAAGCACAGACTAGAGTGAGGCTGTGGCTGAGGCATGTCACGTATGTTTGTGCCCAAGCATTCGCATAAACATTCCGTCACCATTTTGTGTCTACAGCTCCTGCCTGACTGCCTGACTGGCTGTCTGCCTGCTGCCTCCTGCTACGACCGCCTGCCAGTGTCTCCTGCTCCTGCTCCTGCTCCTGCTCCTGCTTGTGGCACATCTCATATCCATCTGCACTGACAACACATTGGCATTGACGGGCGCGCGTCGTTTGTGTTAAATGTCAGCGCTGTGGCAGCCCAGGTCCCTTTTGGCTGGGGTCACCGCAATTGACCTTCCATTCATCACGGGCTACAGCCACCGCCACCGCCATCCCCGGCACCGGCACCGCCACCGCCACCGCCAGCGCTGCCAAGAGCTCTGCATATTGTTTACCAAGGCGAAACTCTATTGATGTTTACAAAATTCATTTATTGATTATGGGCACGAAAGTTTTTGGTTACTGAAACAACACAAGCGCAAAATGTGCTGGGCTCGGCGTTGCTCTGGCGCACTCTCGGGTCCGCTGGGTCCGCTGTGGGTCCTCTCTAATTATCCACTCAAATGAGGCTGAAAACGAGTCGGAGCTGAGCTGTAACTGCTGTCAATTCCTTTTATCTGGCGTCTTCTCTCTGTCTGTCCGTCTGTCTGTTGGTTAATGATGAGTGCGAGTCGAGCTCTTCCATATGGCGACTTCCGTTTTACATTTTCACATTTTTCCTTGAAGCCTTTCTCTGCTTGGTAGCCAAAACGAAAAAACTGAATAACTGTAAATAAGCAGGTTTCGCCTTGGAATGCGAGAAATGCCAAGACAAATTCAACCCACACACACACTCGCACTCACTCGCACACACAAAAGGCAACAAATGAAAGACAAAAATATTTTGTAATAAAAGGACTTGAGAAATATAATAAATAATGACAAGTCCCCCAAGCACAGCAAAGTGAAATGCAACCATGAGTAAGGCGCTGCCCCCGCCCGCCCCCACTCACAATTTCTGCTATGTTTAAAGCACGATGACAATTAGAAAATCCTTTGGCACCGTATAAAAAGGCTTGGCTCCTGCCATCCAAATGTTTTCTCAGTGCTCATTTCGAGAATTCGTTTTCCTTTTCTCCTCTCTTCGCTTCTTTTTTGGCGTGAAAAATGAGCTGCAAGGCAGCCTACTATAGCCAAGGGGAAAAACAACAGCGAGTCGAAATTTTCTTTTCAGCTGCATTTGAGCGTGCAAAAGATTTATGCTTGGGTCTTATTTTTTCATTATCTTTCCCTTTAGCCAGATCACAATGATGAACCAATTGTTGAGCTGCAAATCTGTGTCGCGTTTCTCATCAGCTAATTGATGTGGTTGCGCTCTTTCTGGGCGGTTAACATAATTGAGGCTGAAGTAAATTTAAATTTTGCCATGAGTAAGAGAAACTTTCGACGAATAGTGCTTGAAGGACATTCAGGGTATTTTTGCAATTCGTTAAATATATTCATTCGATATGCCTTCAAATTGAGATGTAACTGAAGAGAAATTTATTTTGGGAATGTAAATGGGTATTCAGTGTATGCAACAGGCAGAGTTAGCTCTGGCAGACCCCATCAAGTATATATAGCATATTCTAGATTAGGAAGATATTTAAAGTCGTTTAAAGTATCAATCTCTGCATACCCGTGAATGTGTGTCTATGTATATACGTATATGTATATGTATAAATAACTAGAAGGATAGCAGCTCTATACTCTGAGTACAGTATTTTCTAGTCAGGCATTCCCGATTATCATACTCTTACTTATTATTCTAGCATATATAATATTAAATTCATAAACATATTCATGTATATTTGTTTCTAATTATAAAATCAATTAAATATTTAATTTCAAATTATACAATAATATTTAAATATATTATAAGTAATAATGACAAACAAAAAAAAAAAAATTACATAACACAAAAAAGTGAAATATCCAAAACATATTTGTCAATTGATTCAAATTTGCATAACATGTCAATTTAATGTAACTTTTTGCATTCTATGAAGCAATCAGAAAACATTTACTAAATTATTCAAAACTAAGCTGAAGAGACAACAACAACAAAAACAAAGAGAAACCCGCTGACAACATGAAAACACAGCAGAAAATGTAAAACATGAAAACCATTTTATGATGAAAGCTAAACAAAAAGCTCAATTTAAAATGCAACCAAAGGCCTGAGAGATGTGCAATATAACTGCATATATATATACACATGCATGTGTGCGTATATATATGGGCACCCACTGTTCCAGCTGAGTCGAATTCTTGCTGCAATCTCGCTGCCTAAATTAATTAATTGCTGCTGCCCTGTCGTTGGCAATTTGCCACGCCCACTTGGAGAACTATAAATTCAATTTGCTTTAGCTATATATGTATTCTATATATATGTATGTATATGTGAAGCATAATTTTTTTGCTGCTTGGCTGTCGCTGAGAGGGCCAAGTCAGCAGCGAAGCCAAAGTAACTTTTGCCAGCACCCGAAAATCCTTTTTTAATTAAATTTTCTGTACATTTTGCAGTTTTTAGGTTTGAGTTTGAGACAACGACGAACCCAACGTCTCATATATGACAAGCAAGTCCTTTGACTTCGTTGCCTCTCTCTCTCTCACACACACACACACTCGCATTCTTTCTCACTCCATCTCACTCTGTCTCTCTCTCGCTCTGAGGCTTCTTGCAATTGCGACTGTAACCAAAGACAAAGTTTTGAGCTGCCTGCATTCTGCTTGCCTCTCTCTCTCTCTCTCTGCCTCTCCCTCTCTCACTGCCCCTGGGTCTGTCTTTCCTCTGCCTCTTATGCTACTTGCCGTTGTTGCTTTTGTTTTCTGTCAACTTAATCCAATTAGATGCACACGTACTACAACAACACTCCGTGTTGGCATTGAGCACATATGAACGCAGTTTGCACTCTGATTTTCGACCTACCTCGTCTGCTTTGGCTGGCTCGCATTTATCATCCAGTCACGATAACAAATACCACCAGAGATAAGAGCATTTTTGTTTGCAGATGACACAGCTTAGAGTATCTCAGATAAGATGTGTTATGTGTCACAAAGGCGTTTATGATATCCGACATTCATTCTTCGTATAACATGAGAATAAATAACAAAGCAATTGTCTGGGAGTGTATGAATATTTTTAAGGGACTATATGTAGAGCAGATACTTATATGTATATTTTAGGAATATTTGCATATGTTACTTTGAAATTTTGTAGAATTTATTGCCAAAAGTGGATCTATATATGTCCACTCCAAGCGCTCTCTTAAGCTTAATTGACTCTTTTTCAGTTTGGTACGAATATTTTCGTTATATATGGATATTTCTGTGAATATATATATTATATTCTAAGTAAAAAGTGAACATATAAATTTCCAATGGTTTTTAATATGCTTTTTTATTTTGTTTTGTGTAATAAAATACAACCATTTTCATGAGCTCGAAAATATATATATTTTAGTTTACAAAGTTTTGTAAACTTTGGTCATACATGTATTTATTAATAATATCTTCTATATATATTTTTATATTTATGTGCATGCCATATATTTTAGAAATTAAACAGAAAGAATTAAAATAAAACAAGCTCATTAATATTTAATTACATGACTATCATTGCTTGTACTCGTTAGTTGCGCTCTCTCTCTCTCTCTCTCTCTCTCTCTCTCTCTCTCTTTGCCTCGTTTTCCCTCTCTCTCTCCCTCTCATTCTCTTTGAGATCGTAACTCTATACAACATGATCTCATTATCTCTTGCAGCCTGCCCCTCTCAGTCTCTCTTTAATTATCTGCAGCTTATCAGTGGCTGACCTGCTGTGCAAATTGTGAACTCACAAGCAAAGTCAATGGGTAGAGTGAAAAAGAGAGGGATATATATATTCTTTATTAACCTGATTAGCAGATTGTTATATACCCTGTAAACAAATATTTGCCAAAGGTTACAGTTTAGTTGAGTTTAAAAAGGTGAGGGGAGAAAAGTCTCAGATTTCTTATACCTATGAATATCTATATTAAATATGATCTGTAAAACAAATCTTAAATTAAATATGTATGTATATCATATTATATAATAATCAAGAAATGCTCATAGACAGCCCTTGCCGTTGACTTTTATAAATATTAAAATATATAAATATAAACTCTAGATTTATGATGCTCATCATATCTATCACATCTCCAATTATCTCCAATGGAAATTCCTTTAAAAGCCAATCAAAAAAGTAACTTTTATATATATTTTACATATAGAATATCTATCAGCCGCATTGATCTATACAGTCCACACTATTTTGTCTTATCTCTGCAATTGGAGGCAAGCAAAGTCAAACCAGATGCTGTTCAGTTGCTTTGGTTACGCTGAAACTGTTAAAATAACGCCAAGGCAGAGCTGTTATCAGTGCGCTGCTCTCTATATGATGTGTCTATCTCTCTGCCTCTCTCTCTCTTTCTCTCCCTTTTCTGATCTCCCTGGCTCCAGCTACAACCCTCTCGATTTAGCTTTGTCTCTGTGTGTAACAGCATTTATGAACATGACGTGCATTTTTATGAGAGACGAACGCACGCTCCAATCTTTGTTTTTATAAATAATGATTTGCTTGTATTGGTTGGATGCTGCTGTGGTACCCTTTACCTCTCACTCTCTCCCATTCTATCTCTCTCTCTCTCTCTCTGCTGTTCTGCCTGCTTCGAGCTTAGTAGCATTTTTGCAGTCGAAAACGTGTGACACTTGCGTCCGGCATGCGCTGGCGGAAACAAAATTAATTACAAAATACTCATAATTTAAAATTTAATACAAACGCTGTCATCCACTCAATTGCAGCCGTCCACCGATGCGCACACAGCACAGGGTGCGCTGACAGCAACAGCAACAGCAACAGTAACAACAACAGCAGCAGCAGCAACAGTTGCTGCAACATCCGCGTCATCCACAGAAATTGAGCAACTGCAGCAGGCGCTGCTCGAGAAGCAAACGCAGCTCTACGCTTTGGAAACAGCTTGTCTGCGCGAAACGGAGCGTCAGGTGGAGCTGGAGGATAGTGTGATTGCGTGGCAGGACAAATACGATCGACTCTACGAGTCGCACAAGCGCGTGCAGAAAGTCAATCAGAGTCTGGAGGACAAAATGCTCAAGCTAGTCGATCGCAACACCAACGAGCGAGCACAGCTCACCAGCGATGTGGCCACGCTCAGCGTGCGATTGGCCCAGGCCAACTTCAATATTGCCAAGCTGCAAAGGGAAATCGTGAGTAGAATGAATTTATATTTATATTGAATCATACAGCAGTATATATGAACACTGAATACTAAATGCCGGTCTTATGGGCTTGGAGTCTGTCGTTAGCATATGACTTTGAGGTATTGAAAAGTAGAATCAGCCTCAAATTCAAATTGGTATCAGGCATACATAAGCACACGTTCTATGTGATAGACATTTTAGAGAAGTACTGGGATTACATTAACTATAATATGTACTTCATGAAAAATATATATATATAATTAATTATTCATATAAATAAGTATATTTTAGATGACCACGCTAATGTAGAGTCCAAAGTATGACAAAATGTATTTCGATTATTTCCGAACATTTTCCCGAAAAATAAGATTGATTTTTGAAAGCTTCTCAAGTTTATTAATAAATAACGATAAGCTACTATATATATTTAAAAGTATATACAGTAAAAAGTATATACAGGTCAATTTATGTATTTAAAATATACACAATTTATGCTTCTTCAAAATAATAGCAATATCGATCATTTATAAAAAAAAATCGACTCTTAAAACAAAATGAAAACATTGACGTGAAACGAAAATCAATTGCTGTGAATATTCCCTCGTTTTTGCACTGTATGTCAGCTTACTAAATATCTATAAAAGTTAAGTTGCTTAAAGAATGCACGTATATAGAATATCAATAAGGGCATACGCCTGCCTAGTAAATAGAATGAGCTAAACTTAAGCACTGTCTCAAGTACAGCTACACAAAAGCTCAAATTGTTACTAAGCTTAAAACTTATCTAAAAACGGCGAGAATTTCAGCAAATTTATGATCCGTCAATATTTTACGGACAGCTTATGCGCCTTGCAAAAAGGATCCAGAACATAAAAAAGTTTTTCCTGAATAAAACACAAAGCTAAACTACTTAATAACACTACACTCCCGAACGAGTTAATTGCTTAGATAAAAATTTTAAATAATAAAAAACCAAAAACAACGAAATTTCTCAGGTCAATTAAAAGTAATTTCGATTCATGCATAATATATATGCAGCTATTACCCACAAGCCCCAATGCTTAATAGATAAAAGAAAGAAAAAACAAGTAAGAACGTTGCAGTCGGGCGTTACCGACTGCGGAATACTCATTCACATCCCATCAACAATTTAGTAGTTAAGTTTCGCTCTAATACTGTAGAATATACAGGCTTTTCCGATTTGCCACGCCTCTACTGGGCGTAAACACCTCATTTTTGGTCAGTTTCTAGAACGAGATAACAGTACCTTAACTGCAAAGATTGAATGCTTACTCTCAAAAAAAGTAAAAATTACAGGGTATTTTTCGATATGCCACGCCCCTAAAGAGGCGTAAAATTTTTTTTTTGGGGAATCGATAGAGGAGGCTACCAGTAACTCAACTATCTAAATTTGAAGCTTCTAGCTATTATACTTTAGGAGATATACATTTTTGCGGTTTGCCACGCCCCCTGTGGGCGGACATATATTCGACAAAACTTTTTGGTCTTGGGTGATCAGTCCGAGTATATATACAAAATTTGAGATCTCTGCCATCAATAGTGTCCAAAATATAGCAGAATTTAAAAAATCACTATATCTTCAGGTCCGATTTGCCACGCCCCCAATGGGCGAAGACTTATAATTTTGTCTTTAGACTTTATAGAATCATAACATTAGCTGACGTGCAAAATTTCAGCATTCTAGGTTTACAACTTTAGGAGATACAGTTTTATCCGATTTGCCACGCCCCCAATGGGCGGAGATATATCCGCCATAGCTTGTGATCTTGGGTTGTCGACGCGGACCTACATACCGAATTTCAGCTTTCTAGCACTTTAACTAACATGATTTCTGGTATATCGGAAAATGCATTTTCCGATTTGCCACGCCCCTAGTGGGCGGATCGGGAAAATTTTAACACTTTATAAATCGGAGATATACACGAGTATGTGTTTCAAATTTCAAGTCTCTAGCTTCAATAGCGCCGAAATAGATTGCGTTCATACGGACAGACGGACAGACGGACAGACGGACAGACGGACGGACGGACGACGACGGACAGACGGACAGACGGACGGACAGCAAGACGGACATTGCACAAAACCAATATACTGATTCACTTTCGTGAATGAGTATAAAAACACCAAACAATTCTCATGCTTTGTTAATTAGTGTAGCCTGATGAGAGCGGTGAGTGCGCCAGGGAAATTGTAATGCGCTTTTCAGCAGCATGGAAAATGCAGAGAAAAGCATCGAATTTGCGCCCGTAAGGCTGGCCAACTAATTGGTGGCCAACTTTTTGGATAGCTGTTACCAAAAGGGTGCGGAGCTTCGACGGGGACGAGGCATTAAACATTTCGTAGCTGGAACTTTAAGCTCCTGAAAGTCGCTTAGTAGAGCTAAACAAATGCAAGGCGGCAAAGCGTTCAAAACTAGAAACTTTTCCAATTCACTTTGGTTTTTTGTTTTTGTTTTATTTTTTTCTTTTTCTGCTTGCTTTTTGTATATTACGAAGCCAAACACGAAAAATATCTGCGCGAAAGTTTTCAATTAAGGCAAACAGTAAAACGCCATCGGGCCAAATGCACTTCAGCTGAGCGTGGCACAGGGCTGGGCGGGAGGGGGAGAGCGAAGAGTGGGGCTTGGCATCAGGAAGCCTTTTAACGCACTTTTACTATAATCGGAGCAGCGTCCAGGCTGGGTCGAGGTCGAGGTATTTGTACTGGCGATAGTCCATGCTGCAAACAATTAGCGACCCATCGGCCAAAAGGGAATCTACAAAGTTGAGGTAATGGTTAATGGGTCTGCCCAAGTTGGCAACGTTTACACACACACACACAGTGCGAGTCTCTATATATAGAGCTGGTCAACTAACAAAGTGGAGCTTTTTTTTTATTTCTTTCATTAACTTGTTTTTGTCTTTGTCGCAAGTGTTGGCACAAATTAATACCTATAAAAGGAAAAAGGCCATTTTCACCTTTTAAAAAGTTCTACTCGAGTTTTTTTTTTTTTTGCGTTTTAAAGTGGAGAGGGTGTGTGTTGACTGACAGGGGAAGAGGTAGTGGAGCTTGGTAGTTGGAGGTAGTAGAGACTGTAGTGAATGTTGGTAGTTAGAGGTAAAACCAGAGGCATTAGAGCTAGAGGTAGTAGAACCAGCAATAGGAGAGCTTGGTAAACTGAGGCAGAGAGCGGGAGGTAGTAGAGCTTGGTCGGTAGAAGCAATAAAGCTAAAGGTAGCTTAGTCAGCTTATATAGGGAGAGGTTTATGTCGTATATAGTAGCTTTCAAGTATTTGAATTTGTAGCCCCTGTTCTCTAAAGATTCGCTAGAGATATCTTAGAACTATATGATTCTTATAGTTTCTTAATATCTGTTTAAAAATCTAAAGATGCTGTTTCACTTTCATTTTATTAGTTTTCAATTTTCACCTCGAGTCCAGCCATTTCCACTCATACTCCACCCCTAAATGTGAAATTCTCTTAAAGGAAACTCCCAGCTGATTCACTTTGGATGCTAACTAAAAGTATTCCAATACCTAGACGACAGTTCGCCCCTGGCAAAAAGTAATTTACCGTATACCTCATATAGTATATGGGAAAAATTTCGTTGATTGCAGTTGGCTGTTGCTATTGCTTTTTGTTGTCTGTCGTTTGTTGCTGTTTTCGTGCGTTTGGGGCTTGGCGACAATGTCAATAACCTTTAGTCGTATTTTTGCGCTTTGGCCACCCTGCTTGGCCGGATGAAAAATCAGCACTTGGTCATGGACTGTCGCTGCGTCACGTGCCATCGTGAATTCCGTGCCCTCTATCTTCACTCTATCTCTGTCTTTCTCTCTCTCTCTCTCTCTCCCTCTGTATCTGACTTGCTCTATCTGCATCCTGTGTACCTTTGGCATGCCTTGGCCATGGTTCGTTAATCTGCCGTTGGCTTTTTGCATGATAGCTCGGCATTTCCGTTGCAAAACACTTAGCCGTATGCCACAGTCCTCTGCTCGTCCTGTAAACTGTTGTCTATAGTCGATCTCTTTCACTCTGTATGCGTGTGTGTATGTGTGTGTGTGTGTGTGTGAATGGGGCGTCGCTGTGTCCTGTAATCGCTTGCCATCCTTGACGGTTGTTGTGGGCTGTTATTGTTTACTGTTCAGCCCGTATGCAAAAAGATTTCACTCTCAAATACCCTGCAATCAGCTTTGAGTTGGAGGTTGCTTTAAAGAGCCATCACGTTTTTAAGCGAGTAAGTAGACTACTTAGCGGTCAATGGCTGCTGAATGCTGGCGGGGGGTGAAAGGCTGTGAAGGAGTTAAGTATTGCTGGCTGAGCATTGAGATTTCTGGGGGAAGTATTAAGTGAGTTTGCAGCTGACAGATTTCATGGAACAGGAGAATATCTATAATACTATATTTATATATATTTCAAGACTACTCTATAAAGAGTCTCCCACTATTCTTCTACTTCTGCTCCCCAAAGTCCATGTGCTACCTGAAAATCCTATATTTAGCTGCATGCTTTGCAGCGTTTTGGCCATGCCATATTCTTTGGTTTCGTTTGAATATTTGATGGGCACTGGCTTCCATTTTGATAGAGCCATAACCCTTGCCCCAGCCCCGGTCCCAGTGCCCCACCATGGTAATTCCCACTTGCATTAAACGCCAAGCAATTGTAAATATGCGGAGCCCCGTTGCGCTGCAAGTGGAGCAGATAAAATGCAAGCGCACAGTTCACGTGGCAATCGCAATCGCAGAGCCAGCGCCAGCACCAGGGCTCGCGGCTCAGTCGCATTGATGTGTGGGCGGAGGAGTGTTTCCGTTTTCCCCCATTCTCAATTGTTTTTTGTTTTATTTCTTATTTCTTATGTTGCTTCCTCTGCCTTTGCCCGGAACCGGTGTAATTAATGTTATGTACCTGGCGGCATCTGTTTTGAGTGTTGTTCGCGCTGTTCACTTGTGCTTGAGTTGTGCAAGTCAAGACGGCGGCGCTGCCTCATTGTCATCTTCCATTTGAATGCG